TTTTTTCCTCCTAAATGCGGTAAGGGAGAAAAGAAGACAAATCATAATTCATCCATCTTTATCACGCTGATCGTAACGAAGAAAAATGGTGAAAAACATTTTCTGATTAAACCATGGCATAAAAGGGGGTTGGGAACTTTCTTTCCGGAAGACGAGGCGCCATTTTGTTTCGCTTTAGAAGCGCAACTTCTGAAGGTTTTAATTTATTCATAGATTTTTCATGTGTCACCCTCTTTTATTGGAAGGTTAATTGCAGTAACTCTTTTTAATTACAATTCGAAAACGTTGTCCCGAAAGAAATATTCCTCTTTTTTTATATTCTTACTCCATTCATTTTATCTTTTTCTCATCCTCTCCCTCCTAAATTACAAGGGTTTTAATTACTGTACTTTGTCAAACGGTTCAGAAATAGTACTCGCGGTTTAACGTTTTGCTCGGTGGAGCAAAACGTTAAACCGCGAGTACTAAAATATCGCATGAAAAAAATATATGTCTGTTTTAGTGTGACTTTTTGTGGTTTCCCAAAGAGTCTAAGAGAACAATTTGAAGTTAAAAAGTTTTTATTATCGTTGAATCTTGGAAAGCTGTTATCCCTCTGACTGCTCAATTTGTAAACCGAAATCGCTTCAAAAAAAAAAAAAAAAAAAATTTTTTTTGGAGGGGGCATATTTTTAAATCTATATATATTGGAGAATTGAAAAATGCATTTTTCCTTTCTAGAAAATATTTTTTCATATAGATTTTTATCATGAGTTGCCAGAAAAACAAATTCAGATGTTACCAGAAAAAAAAATAAATTTCAGTCGCATTACAGTTGATTTCTATTTATTGCAGAATATAAAAAAGCAAAATTATAAAAATTTAAGAAAATTTAAAGAACTGCGGAAAAAATACCTTTGAAATGCAGTTTAGTATGATAGATTTCAAAACAGGATCATGGCAAAAAGCTCAACTTCACAGTGTTTGCACCAGATTCAATAAATCTAATTAATAATCAATCTAATTATTAATCTAATCAACAAATCTAATTAATAATTCAATAATTTAGTTAATAATCGCTGAATGTTTTCTAGCAGCCATTCCTGTAAGAAAAAAGCGGAAAATGTGGAGTTGGAGCGATAATACCATGTGCCTTCAAACGCTGCAATTTAGTGGACAATTAACGATACCCATCTATCTAATACTGTATATAATTTATTTCAGTGGTTAAATGGGGAAAAAACGGGATGCACTCCTCAATAAAGGAAGAAAAACATATGCCCGCCAGGATGACCAGCCAGGGTTTAGTCCATTTCAATGGAATAAATTCTCTAGAGGTTAACATACTCAGCATTTCATATCATTAGTCCCAAAGATGGAAACATTGTATAAGTTTCAACTGCCTGCCTTGAAATAATTAAATTTACTTTTTGATTTATATCCTAAATAAAGAAAATAGCCATACCTAACATAGTATTCATGTATATAATGTAATTAATATGCAGCATGTGGCGCAGTGACTAGCGCGTCGTGCAACAGCACCAGAGGTCCAGGGTTTGATCCCCGGGCTGGGGAAGGTTGAGTCAGCCTTTCATCCCTGTAGTTGGTCGATAAAATTAGCACCAAGTTCGCTTGGAGACTAAACACCGGAGGTCCTGCGACAAGCTGACCACTTGTCCAGGCTGCGTTGCCTCATAGAGACAAAGCGGTGAATTTAGTAATATGTCGTAGATCTTCGTTGTGCTAATATGCTGTAACTGTGTTATTTGAGACGTTATTCATTGCAAAATATTTCTATGATATTCAGAATTTTGATTAAGATGCACAAGCACCTCGGAGCCCACGGTCTAGAAAGCAAATATCATGGCACTGCCGCCCATGGCTCGCTATGGGCTGTTTGTACCGCCGAGTTTAGTTTAATTTTAATATGAAGCATAATAAATATCGGTAGAGAACAATAAAATTCTTCATATTTCATTTCAGGTTTATGTCAACATTTTGTTATTTCTCAAACTCAATTACAAAACATGTGAACGGTTCTTTAAAATTGGTGACTTTTCCTAATTTTATTGACATTAGTAATAATTTAGTCACATAGTTATATCTCCGCCTTTTTAAAGCATTGATGTAGCTAACAATACGAAAAATTGAATTCGCAATAAAAAATTTAAAATGCCTCACATCCAACTTTTGTTTGACAACCTGAGTTTCTATTGCTTCCAGTATTTTTTGTTTTTTACAGTCTCAAAAAAAGAGAGGCACACAACAGAGGTTGCTAAAAAGATAAAAACTAATTTTTAAAAATGTCTTATTTGTCAGAAAGTGTACCTAAAAATTACCTAAAAATAAAAAGTCATTTTTCATTAGTTAAACAAACATGGAACTAGTTCCACTAATAGATATGAGAAATAAATTAAAACAGTCCACCCCCTAATTCAAATTCTTAGTTTTCGAAAGCGATCAGACAAAGCCAAGAGCCAGAAAATTGTTTACCTGAAGAAATCAGTTATTAAAAGAGGAGAGAGACCTGCTGGATCGGTCTCGATATTGATTACTCAAAATTCTAAACCAATCTAAAATTTCCTTTTAGCCAATTTTTAATTTTGCATGACAGTGTCGTTCTCTTGATTATATTCACTAGATTGGTTGATTTCTCATTTCTTGTATGCCAATTCTATGTTAAAATCATTAATTTGATTTTAGTTATAAAATCATAATTTTTTAGAATCTTTTATACAAGCAAGTCCCGTTTTCAATAATCACACTAAGAAAGAACGGTGGAATTAGGCAATATATATTTAACTTTCACTTTTCTTGAAATGGCAACACAATTTGTGAAAACACCTTATGACTACGTCAGTTTAAAAATTAGAAATCCAAACTGCTAGAAACATTTTATCTGTATTGTAACGACTGTATATCTACCTGTATTGTATCTGTATATTTATCTGTATTTTGCAACGACAAATTGTTTATTTGTAAGAACATTATGCAGCCTATTTATCATGCTCATATAACTATGAATTACTGACAACTGGGGCACGCCATCCTTAAAATGGGCAGTTTTTACTATCTTTAGATTTTAAGGATCCTGCCACAGAATAGTACGTCATCATATGGTTTAATTCTTTAAAATACGTTGAAGTCGGTAATAAATAATAATAACAACAAGCACTAGTTTTAGATAAATATTTAAGACCTTAATAAAACTTTTAATGAAGGCAAAAAAAAGTTTCGAAACATATATTTATAGCTTTGGAGAGAACTATAAAGAAGTTTGGCACAAACCATTTGTTTACTAATAAAAAAATTACGTTTTACTTCCATAAAAACATAACAAATCGCAAAAATGTTAAATTTAAACTGCATTATTGCATTACACGTTATGTGAAGAAAACAGAATTGGCAGAACAGAAAAAATAAGATGCTTGAACACATGCATGCCAAAAAATTCACATTAGGTAATAAAAATAAAGCCAGAATTATATTACCATCCAAGAAGCCTACGACATACTTTATGTCAAAGCCGGTTAGAAAAATTCCTCCTAATGTCTGCTAATGCATCAATTTATATGCTGAATCATATAAGGAAAAAATCATTTGTAGGGATAAATAGCATATCTGGTGCTTCAAAAAACAAGCATTAACTTTCAAAAACAATTTTCTTCCGCAGCAATTACTTTCTGGCCTTGTTCTGGATCAGTCTTTTATAATTTATTCGCATCTAAACCTACCTACCCACCCCACTAAACTTATCCCAAAGAAACTGTGTATCAGAACAAAAATATAACTGACTACACCGCCCCTCATTCCCATCTTCTCTAACGGAAATTAATGTTTTGGAGATGTTATGCAAATTCCTTATCTGTTCTCAAGAAGGCCAAAAAAAAGTAATTTATAAAAAGCTTAATCCAGATCGAAAAAAAAATTCTCTCTGAATTTTTCCTGCCATCAGCGCTGAAAATATGGTAATTGGCAACAAATCTTCTCGAAAATTTCAGACATATCTTACATCCATGTATTTGCATACATTAGATAAGGGTTTTAATTCGCTGTAATTTGTTTCGGTCTGAAACTCCAAAAGAAAATGCACTTATCTTACAGCACGTTAGCTGTTCATATCGATTGAGTGCTTCAATCGATAATTTTGAGCTCAACGTTGCCATCCTTCTTTTGGAATGCGGTATTTAAAATAATGGAGGATTAAGAAGATCCGTTTGAAATGTGAAATGTTTTTGCTTCTTATTTTTTAGAAAGCTTTATAAACTCAATGAAGATATAAACTAAATTTAATGGCAATTACATTATGATTAGTGCAGGTCCCTTTTACCAAAACATTTCCAAATATAATCTCCCAGAATAATTACTTAACAAATAGAATAATCAAAACAACTAATATAATTTTAGAGAAAATTAAAAAAAAGTTCTTAACACAAAACAGCACTTTTTTGAATGAGAGACGGAAATAATGAATGTTGGATGCCTCATTAAATTCTTCTTTTCAACAATTTTAAGACCCTCTAAAAAGTGTTAGGATTAAAAATATTGATGGAAATAAAATGGCGGAATACATTTCAACTTAATTGTCTTTTTTTTAGTCCTTTTAAAGAAAAGCCTTCACATTAATTACAACAGTCGATATTTAAAAAATTTGGAACTGAATCTCAAAACAATTCATGAAGTACAAAATCATAATCAAACATTTCATGTGGGAAAACAAAACAGTCATAAGACTTACACAGTACAGTTATTAAATTTAAGACATACTTTAGAACATTAAATTAACAAGCATGCAAGACAATGACAATGTTATTAAATTTAAGACATACTTTATAAGAACATTAAATTAACAAGCATGCAAGACAATGACAATGTTATTAAATTTAAGACATACTTTATAAATGAACATTAAATTAACACGCATGCAAGACAATAACATATTTCTCGACATGAAATTAAAAATAATTTATTGTAAGCCCATAAATAAATCAAACGCATTCATATTACATAATGTTATGGTGTTGAGAAATTTTACACCAAAAAATATGAAAAATAAACTTGTGTGGCTGACATCGGAACAAGGATCTTAATTGCTATCTAAATGTGCTAACCATTTATACAACGAGAGTATACAAGGGAAAATGCGCTAACTTCTTTCAATGTCATCACATAACATACTACCACTTATTATTCGGAAATTATGTAGTTCACAAACATTAAAAGAAAAACGACAAGACTACTGCTGTCTGTTTATTCCACAAGATCTTAACTTAGTCATAATAACTGCTCCTTTCTAAAAACAGATTATATAAATGAGACTACCATTCATTTTAATTAAACAGAAGTACATGTTGTATAAAAGTACTTTGCTTTCGCAATAAAGAAGAAATTTCCTCTCTTAATTTAAGTACTTTCAAAAATAAACTCAATATTATTTTCTTTAATTTTAGGACCATTATGTGAAACAAAAAAAGTTATTTCGCTGTTTTTAGAAATGGGTTGTTATATGCGATCTTCATTGAAATAAAACAAGAAAGCAAAAATAATTCCTTTACTTCAGAAATAGGAAAATAATTCTTTACCGTATACATTAATACTCATATGGTTTACAGAAAACAGGCACCCGGAAAAGGTTATCCAAAATAGCTAGGGTCTCAGTTAACAGAAATTCTACTGTACTATTATTCACAAATCCTCTCCGCTACCCCCCCCCAAACGAAAAACTCAATGAGACTAGAATGCCATGAGCCATACACAATGATAAAGCAAACTGAAATAATTGCAGTAAGAGAATCACAGAAATTGTAAAAGAGAATATGAGAGGGAAAAAAAAAAAAAAAGAAATTGTAAAGCAAATATTTAATTAAAATTACTTATACGCATTTATTCCGGTTTGAATAGACACTTTTCTCTACCTCTGAATGGCAGCGCAAAAATCAGTAGATGGGTATTGATTTAGAAAACACTAAATGGCAGCAGTGTAAAAAATACTTTCGATTTGTATGATGCAGCTTGCAGCTCGAATGCTGCTGAAGCAATGCTAAACAGATTCTAGATTAGATTAATTTGCTTTGACATTCTAATAAATTTCCTATTAAACTATAGACTGAATGTTGATTTTAGATAAGAATACTAAGAAATTTAGATGCGTAGTAGAACTTTGTTAGACACGGCGCATCGTTATTTTCTGCCATCCCATGATGTTTTAAAAGCATAACATCACGTGCTTTAATTATAAAAAAATTCTGAATTCTTCATAAGAAACTTTATCGGTCTTTCAACATAAACTGAATTTCATGAACTACTTCACCCAGTCAGTTATTTAATCAGTTCAGTTTATTTGTAGTTATTTAACAGCAATTAAGGTGTTTCTCATAATTCCATTCAAATACAGTATGTTTTCACAGTTTCCGTGCTAGTTTCCATCAGAGATACCATACGATAATTTCAGTTCCTATACAAATAAAAAGTGAAAGTAAAATAAATAATGTAATATGGTAAAATCGGATGTATGAAAAATTATGAAATGATGTAAATGCGGATAAAGTTTGTTCATTTCGGCTATGTAATAATTTACAATTAAATTACATTATTATAACTTATATACTATTTCATTCAATAGCTACCTCAAAATAATTTTAAATCAATTTTACATAGCACCTTTTTTTTACTTTTCATATTTACCTTTTTCACTGACAAATAAATCCACAATACAATTCGTGGTGTTATAAAATACTTACGTTTCATTCAGATTTTGATTTTACATCGAAAGTTGATATTGCAACACTCCGTCGTTGATGTTGTAACACTCCGTCAACACTCCATACTTCTTTACATTCCATACAACTTTTAAGGAAGATATGGGAAGTAAGGAAGCACGGAATCCAGACAGAGCTATCCACCACACCAATTCTCAGCAAGCCTAAAACATATAAAAAACACAATGATTTTACTACTGATATTTCATTGTCTTAAATTATAATTATTAGTCTTAAGTCTTCAACGGGAAAATATCAACGAAAGTTTTATAATAAAACTATTTACAAATACTGCTTCCGAAACCTGCTGATTTTTTCCTTGGAGCGTACACGGTATAAATATCTAGGCTTGAAAAGAAAAACAATTGGTAATATAGAGATTAAAAGTTATCCTTAAAATTTTTATTTTTTATTATAACTTCTAAGGTTGTTGTTATTTGCTTTTGATGATTTCCCCCGTCCTTAAATGAATTTCTCGAAACCTCACGAGAAAAAAAAAAATATTAATAGCATCTCCAAGATTTAATTTAATCTCAAGAAGAATTATATGAAGGAATAATTCCACTTTTTCTACCTAATCTTAATATACTTAAGAGTTCTTAGTAGCTTTTATTCACAACTAACTCGATTAAAGCTTAAAAAATTATTATTATTACAAGTACTTATTATTAAGTAAAAGATTAGATTAAATTTTATACTGAAATTTTATCAGACATTTTGGCTTATTTACAACCTTATTTCAGCCCAATCTCCAAAAAGATTATTAATAAAGGGAATTCTGTGTAAAATGCTCAATATTTTAAAACATTAATTAAACACGATTAAAGAGCTGCATGTATAAGATATAACGAGAGAAAAAAAAAAAAAAAAAAAAAAGAAAGAAAGAAAGAAATATCGTAGTCCAAAAATTAATCTTAAGAGATTTATAAAATGGTAATTAAATTTATCCACTTATACTCGGGAATATCTATACAAATGGAATCAGCGATTTATATTTACCCCAAACCGTACTTCCTTTCTCCTTTACTGTTTTATAGAAGAAAATAAGTTATACGAAAACGGAACTAAGAAAGTAAATCCTTTACTGTTTTATCGAGCAAAATAGTTACACGAAAACGGAACTAAAAGTAAATTATTTTGATCTACGTTAAGAAAAATTCTTGTTTTGAGAGTTTACTTCACATAGAATTGCATAAAAGAAAATTAATAGACGCCATCTATTGGTTGAAAGCGTAACTACTACTTCCTGAAACTAAACTTCCTTGAATTTGGCCAGTTGGTAATTCGTAAATTTGCGTTGCCTTGATTCTAAGTTTGTCAATTAAAGATTTTGACAAATATGAAAAATAAATTAAGTAAGTAAATATTAAAAAAACTTTAGTATAAACAGAAACGGTCGATCGCAATAAAAACAAGAAACACGAATTCTAAAATTCAGCTTTTCTTCCGAAGCACTGCATCGTTAACTAGATTTTTTATTAATTAATGTAAGCTATAAACTTCAAGGTAACAGAAAGCAATCAAGCTGCATTAATTTTAGAAATATTCTTTTTACCGAGTAAATCTACCAAATGATATAACTATATAAATAAATGTTATCAACTACCGCATAGGCAACTATCATTTTTAAAGTCGTAGTTGTGTGCAACAAATGCTAAGGGGAAGTCTTTAAATTGAGGCCAAAATTCTTTCACACACTTCTCGGAAATGTTCCGTTTATAATCACAGCACACAGATTATTCATGGCCTTAGATTACACAGATAAGAATGAGAGTAAAGGACATTGAACCAATGAGAACAGACCGTTAGAACTAACGATCGGCATGACGTCATCAATCCTGTCATGTACATTAACCATCGCTCATTATCTTCCACCAGCACTGCCTCACAGCTGTAATCAATAACTTCACCACTTAAACAAAGATAACAAACACCCGCTCGTCATTACTTGTTCAGAAAAGAACAATATGTCATAAACTTTGAGGGTAACGGGGCACGCAGTTGCTATTTGTCACTGCTTATTCATATTTTGAGATGATGACTGGATGTGATAATGTATTACTTTACATAAGGGAAGGTGGAGAAGAACACTGGAATGCACAATTAAGATTCACATATTTTTTCAGACAGAAATTACTCAGCACACTTCCGCTAATTGATTTTTACCAGTATGTTTTTCGTTGTCTGTTTATGTTTGGTATATAATTATTTTCATCATCATTTACAAAAATAACATGTAAAGCATTATATATGCAAGGAACGGGTATGGATTGAAATAATAATACTCAAAACTTAATGACTCTAAGTACCGTTGTTTTATCACAATGCGAGAAATATAGATACATTTATGCAGATTCTTCATTATTTAATTCCTTTAAATATAACACAGGGTTCTAATAATTTGTGGCAACATTTTGAAAAGTGAATCGACATTTATAATGAACAAACGCAAAATGCGAGAACGAAATCAATAGAATTTCTGGGCTAATAAATAATAATTAAAAAGAAACTGAAAGCTTTGTGTTACCTTTATTTATTAAATATGTTCTTCGGACTTAAACCATAAAATTCAGTTCAAAAGCAATATTGCAAAATAAATTAAAAATAAGCATATCTTTAAAATTTCCGATACACAGTCTCACGCGCTGGAGATAAAAATGCTTTTATTTCCCGTTCAGTGTTGCCATTGCTCGCTTTGAAATCTTTCAGTCTGTTAATCAAAAGTTCGCTAAAATGTTACAAAATTCGAAATTGATAATAAAAGAAATTCCAAATTAAGGCTTCCAGATGTACATATTCGATGTAAGATTAAGTTATTCACAACTGGATGGCTCTAGGTACCGTTGTTTTATCACAAAGCGAGATTCTTCATTATTTAATTTATTTAAATATAACACAGGGAGATGATATTTGGTGGCAACAATTTGAAAATGAAAACGGACATTTAAAGTTTTCGACGCAAATTGCAAAAACGAAATTAATAGTCCTTCTGGGCAAATTGCCCCTTTGAACTAAAAATTCCCCAAATTTCCCGAAAGGATTTGTTTTGCTAAATAAGATAATTTCGCACTTTTTAATTGATTTGTGAGACAAAATATTGTGTGAATTTCGGGATTATTCAATATTTACTCTGATTAATTCCGCTAAGCACGAACACATACAACTAATATGACCACACTTTCTGCATTTACTTTTTTTACTAAAAGTTATGTTATTATCAAAGAAAGATCTCAGTATCAGCGTGAATTTTAAGGCAAACTCCAGATTAAATCCACTTACTGAAATGGTTTATGGAATCTGCTGCCTTTTGGGACAAAACCAAGACGATATTGAATAATATGATTATATTTAAAAAGTTTCAGGTTTAAGAATCCACTATTACTGGTAACACTTGTTAATAGAACGTGTACTAAGGACCTTTTTATAGAACTTTATCTTTTACAGTGACTCTGACGGGCACCGAAGGGCCCTGGCTCGAATCCCGGCGAAGACATGGATATAATTTGTCTTTCCTTTCAAAGGCCCACCTATTAGTTGCCTCCATAATAAAATGATCACCGCTTTTGGCCGCAGTAGTGGCCAATGTCTATAAACTAGAGACAGCCATTTGAAGTCTTTTAGCACTCGAAAACGTTTTTTCCACACCATAAATATGCAACTTCAAATATTTATATATTTACCACTATTACATTATTTCATTCCCAAACAGTTGCATTTTTATGATTACTTAACATTATAAAAAGATGCTGAATCGTAAAATGATCACCCGCTGAATATGCTGGTGGTTCATTCTAGGCTCGGTTCACAGAGGAGACAAGAATGGCTACATTAGCTTTTCAAGAGTTTACCCAAGGTAATATGAATAGAACTCAGTTTCTCTCAGAAAGTTTTTCATAAAGGCATTCTAGCTTTCAATTGCTAAACTAATATTGGCAACATAAGACACTCCAATGAAATGATCACCAAATTTAACTTGCTAAGATTAAATTAATTTACTGATGCATAATTTGCTGTACTGAAAAATTTTAAATTAGATTACTTTTGATTTACATATACAAAAATACGATGCTAGGCAACGAAAATTTCTTGCAATTAATTCTTTAAATACGTCATCGATTACATCCGATTTTATGACTTATCAAGAATACATTCGTTAATTTTAAAACAGTACAATAAATGGAAATACAAGAATGAATTTTAAAGATAATCTAACACTTAAATGCTAAAAGATACAAACACTGATTCTAGAAACATTAAAATTACCTACAAGCCTGTTATCAAAGAGGAGGTGAATGCAGGGAAAAGTCATTGTATGTCGAAAGCCATTAAATGGAGTCGACGGTTCCGCAATCAAGTGTTCTCCGAAACGAGCGCCCAACATGGGTTAATATACTAATTTACGTCACGCCCTTCTCAAATCTCAGCTCAAGGAACAAACACAGCTTCGTAGTTTAATCTCAGTTCGAAATCAAACATTTGCGGCTTGTGGAGAGCGTTGTAATTTTTCAAGTTACAGAATTTTCGCGCACGAAGACACAACATAATTAAATTACTGACTAGAAGTTAAGATGTTTCAAAGCCAGATAATACACGAGCATTATATTTCATCAAAATGCATTAAATGTGAATGGGAAGGAAAAAAATCCACAATATTTTTAAAGTCCTGTTCAAAAATGGAACTCAGAATGTGCAAAATGCTAAGAATTAAATTACAAACCAAAGTACTTCTACTTTCAGATGCGTACAAAAAAAAAAAAAAAAAAAAAAAAAAAAAAAAAGGCGTAATATATATGCTTTCGAAAATTATTCAGTTATTAACTATAATTTGAAACTATTTCAAAAAAAAGTTTCAAAAAAAAAAAAGTCTGAAAGCTTTCAGATTGTCCATTACCGCCAGTGGGGCCCCTTTTTTTTAACGTTTTGTGCATTACCTTTATTTATTAAATTTCATGTTCTTCGCACTTAAACCATAAAATTCAATTCAACATCAATATCGCAAAATAATTTTAAAAACGAGTATATCTTTAGAATTTCCTATACACAGTCTCGCGCACTGGAGATAAAAATGATTTCCCCCCTTCAGTGTTGCCATTGCTCGCTTTGAAATCCTTGAGTTTGTTAAAAGTTCGCTAAAGTGTTACAAAATACAGAATCAATAATGAAACAAATTCCAAATTCGAAATTAGGGCTTCCAGATGTACATATTCGGTGTAAAATTATGTTATTCACAATTGGATGGTTGGTTCTAAGTACCGTTGTTTTATCATAATGCGAGAAACATGCCTACATTTACGCAGATTCTTCATTATTTAATTTCTTTAAATACAACTTAAAGAAATAATATTTTGAAATAATATTTTGAATTGAAAAATGAAACGGACATTTAAATTGCCAACACGAAATTAATAGTCCTTCTGGGCTATTGCCCTTTGGGCTAATAATTCAGTTACGTGAATATCATACATTTAATGGAACTGCAAACTGAATATCTGGAATTAAATGTAATATTTTCTTACTTAAAGAGTTTCATTATATTTAAAGAATTAGAATTTAACATTACACTTATTTCAAATCGAGTTTACATCGTGATTTTTATTAAATAATCAGTAACTTTAAATATCTCCAATTTCGACTCTCTATTCACTGCTAATCAATGACCCAATTTTTTCGAGCTTTTGATCAGAAAATGCCGAGACTATTGTAAAATCATTTTAAAAATGAGGCATTCTAATTCTTTATGAAGGCGACGACCATTTTTTTGCAGAATGACTAAAAGTAAAGATTGATGCCACCTGGCCCTCGAAAAAGTCTAATCGAAATACACCCGACGATGAAGTCGATTAGACTTTTTCGAGGGTCAACTTTTTTTTTATATAATCTAAAAAATAAGCTGCAATTTTTTTTTAAATTTTTTAAGGCAAAAACACGTTCGTTCACGAGAACGTGTTCAACTCATTATGAAATTCGATTAGACGCATTAAATTTAAAACTGTAAAATGCGATTACAAATTTATAATCAGATAATAGCCATTCCAAACCGCATTTATCTCCATTGCCATTTTTTATTTCGATTGTTTTCTTCATACTTCTATCAATTAATATGTTCGAACACACAAAATGGGACTTTCTTTTTTTTTGGGGGGGGGTGCTATTTCATTCTAAATTTTAAACTATAAAGTATATAAAAGTATATTGAGTTCAATATATTCTTGGAAAAAAAATTCATTGTGCTGCTTAGAAGTGCAATATTTTTTTACTTTTGCAACTTATTTAAGGTCGGATTTATAGTATCAAAATTTTATTTAAATAGAATTCTCAACGACATCATGCTTTTACACAAAGAATAATATTACTAAATCAACTGTAATTAGTAACAAATTTTAATTTTTACGTTTGGAACACAATGCATTTTTAGAACATTAGGCACTAACCGCACTGAAGTTTTGAGTGATAACTTAAAAGAATGATTAAAAAAAAACTTCAAGCTATGGCGCAGATTTATGCATCATTTCTCGTATATTTCACGGTAAGTGTACTTGAATTGATTTCTTCAGCAAACTTTCACCTCTATGCAAGTTGAATAATTAGAAAATAATGCAACTTTTCTTGCAAATGAAAACATTTTGTATGCGAAATGAACACGAACATCACCAAAAAGTATTAAAAAAATACAAAAGCAAGTATCTTAAAATAGGTCAAATTATATTCCTATCACAAATGGAACGTATACACTCAAAAAAGCCGTATACTGGTTTAAAAAAAAATCTGGTTTTTGTTACCGAGACAAATGTTATGTAATACACTATTTACTCATATCACAGATATAATTAAACATCATGTGTGCATTAATCTTAAGAATGGCATTCAAGAATTTTACGTAGCATTTACCTTAATCAATATTTAACTTTACTATACGCATGCACGAGGATAAAATATATCCCATTTTTATGTACCATCTGCTCATATAACTTATGTTTAATTTAAATACTGTGACAAACCTTCAGTTCTATACATTTATCCTAACTTCCAGCAAGTGTCTTAATTTCACTAACGGAAGTTTAGACGGAGCGCAATAAGACAAATCATATCTAAAGCAAACTGCGAAATATCGTTTCACTTTTGACTCCACTGCTAAGAAAACAGAAATAATAGAGCTTTTACCAGCGTATGCAATAATTTACATAAAATGATTAATATATAAACTTTTAAATGTTCTTAAAAATTATTTCTTAAAAATGTCCGTACATTTACTTCGAATGATAATAAAAATTCAACAGCAGTTTCTTCTGAACGCAAGCGTAAGTTGCAATACAAGAACATTTCTGAAATTTTAATTTATATATGCATTTTAGAACTAAATGAACTTTTGTCGAAATTCCAAAGAAATGAAACCTATTTATCTCAGCCGCACTAAAGAAATAAATGGCTAGTGCATTTTGGACGACAATCCAAGATGGAACTATTAAATGCAATCATGAAAGGTACTTACCTAAATAAAATACCTTAAAGTCTAATAACATTCTAGTGGGCTTCGTCACAGAAGACTGCTCCAACAAAATGTACAGGATGTGGCTAGGTCCAGGCAGAAAGAGCCTGTTGTAGATGGCTCTGGAGTTTTAATAAACATCAAATATTGGTGGGTGGGATGCAGAACAAGAAATTCAGGAGTTCAACCTGAACTCAACATCGCAGTACCGTGACTATACTTAAACTGGCTGGGGAGCTGGAGCAACGAAAATGCATCAGGAACATGAGATCCGTTGCAGTCCTTATATGGAGACAGACACCAAGAAAAATACCAGGGGGTAAGAAGGCTGGGCTTTGGAAGACGAGATTCTGGAAGACGATGCTTATTTTAGTCCTTCCCGCAAAGCACCTCTATAAATAACCATTTTTCCGGTCGGCCCTTTGGGTTTCAAGCAGTCCAGACATTCCCTCTCCACTGCTGAGGAACGTGCAAAATATCGTTGGCTGGAGGCCCCGTTTTGAGGGACAGAAATGGATTTTACTTAGCACATCTGGTTTCTTTTTTTTTTCTCCCATCTTTGCGTGGGTGAGGGGATGTTGTAGAAGTCATAACTGGCCTCATCATCAAAAACAGCTGGTTCAGCGAAATTTTCTCCACCCCCCTCTTTTTTCACCAGGGGTGTTTTTTGAGAACAGCAAGGGGGTCGTGAAGTACTCGGGGATTCAGATTACAGAGCTCGTTCTCATATCTTTGACTCGGAGAGGGAGGTTAAAATTGGAGAGAAACACTCTTTATCTGTCTAGCAAGCACTATGGTTCCAAACGAGAAGTTTGGATCAGTACTCAATTCACAGAAAGATCAAGTACCTTGATAAGCACGATTTTTTTCGCTGAGTGCGTCTTTTCGGCTGATTGCACTTGCACCGCACTAATGCTCATTTTCAAACAGTATACAGACATATAAATAGGTATACCATACAGACAATATACTAATCATCCACCATCGACCCTATGTTCGCAAAAAACATGCTTATAAATGCATAAGCTGATCTTCAGTATTTTTTCCTAATCCGCATTGCTCTTCAAACTGTACCGGTAATTATTAGTTCCATACCACCTTATTAAAAAACGGCAAGATGTTCATAGGATCAAACTTATTAGAAAAACAATGACATGACATAGTTTCTTGGACTCAGTCGATTCTTCTGTTAGCATTACTTCTTATTACTAGTACTACTTACTAATATTTCTTAGTTTATCTAGCTAAAAATATAATCTATACTACTCAAGTCCATGATGTTTGTTCTTAATCCTTTCAGCAAATCTATTACCATTTAACGTTTCCATCGATTTCCGCTTTTATGGAGGGGGATGGGAAGAGGATTCAATCGCATTTTTAACAGACACTTAGAGGAAAAATATGCCACCACGGGGTAAGGAGTGTAGATATATTTTCTGGAGAAAATCCATTTAGATATTAACATATTTGCCTCCCTAACAAATGAATTTATTTACATTGTGCATTCGTTCATAAGTCTAACAACTATGATATCATAAATAACTAAACATTGTTTCGAATTTTGACATTAAAAATGTTTCTAGTGGAGGCTTTCCAAAATTCATACGCGACATGTCTCCATCGAAATAGCCTAACAAATGTTGCCAATGAACCGGATATCTTTGACAAAAATGCCACTGAATCAAATTTAAGATCTTTTGATTTTTCTTCCACCCAGTTTATCAAACAACCAATTTCTAGTGTGTTGGTATTCAAAGTGACACAAAAGACGTTGAATTTTTTTTTTTTTTTTTCCAAATTATAACTGTACTTTTTAACATACTGAAATACACATGTTAATCATTTAAATTACGTTAATTTATAATAATATTTCCAAACATAAATTTTTATGAATACTTGCAGCATTACTGCAATTAATAACAAAATGATTTAATAAGCGTACATATATGACATACCTCTATTCAGACCCATTTTAACTTTATTGATTTTTTTTCTATGGTTTTTCACATCGAAATATTAAACAAAAATCGTAACAGTCCAAAAGTACTCAAAGTAAAACAATTATTGAATTAAATATGAAAATAAATATTAAATAATATTAAAACTATCTTGAACAATAATTCCCCTCAAGCAGTTATTAAACAAATTATTACAGCACAAAATATGAAAAATAGATAATATTTACTTCCAGTTTTTGTAAAGGTAAGTAAAACACTTAAGAAAACGCTTCAGCTACTAACAATTAAATCACAATTACGCAAAAGAGCCCTCTTAACCACCGCTATAAAAATCAACCTGGAATTTTTAAATTTAATTAAGTAATTATCCGGATGCAATTTTTTTTTCTTGAATTCTGACAGTGGTTCCGGATCATGTTTTTTCTCTATAAGATCACTAAACCCTGCAAATCTTGAACAAGTCTAGGTTTCAAAATTCCTCAATGTCTAAAAAAAAGGCCTTAATAATTTTTATCATTCATTGATCAGTTCAGCATGACATACTGAGTCAATAATTGACCATACGTAAAACAATTGATTTAAAATCAATGCTTACTATTTTGCTGTTAATTTCTTGTTATTAAATCTACTGGTTTGGTTACCCATCTTTGTCACAAAAGGCTATTTTTGGTATTATTCATAAAGGAACAATAAATCATCAATACAGAGAAAATTATGAACACACGAATGCCTATAAAGAGATATATCTAGGCAAGTCTGGAATAAAATTATTAAAAGTCAAAATATTATATGCACCATTTATAATTCGAAAGAGCATAGAACAACGTTAACGGCAGGTATAAAGATAAAAGTATTTCAATGCTAACAAAAGGGAAAAAGTTAGATTCTACTTTAACCAAAGCGTAAGAAGAGGGGAAAAAATACCTTTGAGGCCGTATACGACAACCAACGCTTTAGTCGATGAAAATAAAATGGCTTACAATGATTTTAAAATATATATACGATACAATATCCGTCATAACTACACTTCATGTTTTTTGAAGTGTACCAAGAAAAATACATTACTATTAACAAGAAATTTCAATTATTATTTAACAATATTGTAAAACCTTTCATCACTAAACGAGAAATTTCAGTGGTTTAAGATTTAAGTTTATGGCATGTAGAAAACATACTATTATAGCAACGAAATGTAAAAATAATTAGCAGCTTAACACTAGTGACCAAACCATTCTTAATGGAGAAGAATTCTTAAGAATGAAGGAAATATTTATATGTATTTTTTTAATTCTTGGTGCAATAAAATATGAAACAATTATCTGCTTATTAAAATCAATTCCTAGATAGATGTTACCGTCCTTAACACTGAAGAAAATATTCTATGCATAATACTTTCTGCTTGAGGCAACAAATATAGAGAATTTAACTATTTAAAGTCAATGTACGAATCATTTCTAGTTATTAATTATAATGAAGATAATTATTTACGTGTATTTTTATGTCAAGAAGGATAAATGCGATTCTTTATGAGGTCAATGCTCTGATCGCTGACAGTGACTAAACAAGACTCTTATTTTTTATTTTGTGGCAACAAATTTAAGTGTATTCTCTGCTCGCGTGGCATTAAAATATTAAAACAATTATGTGCTCATAAAGTAATTCAGTACACTACATACAGCAGATTAAAAAAATATTATGTGAATTTATGCGATTTTCTTATGTTTTGAAATTATGGTTTAATACTTTTAGCGAAATAAATCCTGAAATACCCTTTTATTTAATGGTTGAAGTCTCATTCCGAAAGAAAAACATTTTCAATCTAACTTAAAAATTATCATAATCTAAATAATGATTTCTAAGTATTTCTATTTCTTCTAAAAAAAAATAAAGCATCATATAAGATTGTTGCCTGAAGGAATATAAACCTTTATAATAAATAAAAAATACCAACATATATAATTTTACAGAATGTAAATTTTTATAATGAATAAAAAAGACAAATTTAATAATTGATTTCCTCAAAATACTGTTCCATTTCCGTATTTTTCATCGCAAAGGCTAATGAAAAGTTAAACAGCTTTCGAATTCCAAAATGCTCTGACATAATCTTAAAACACTTTTTCTAGATTCCATGATGACTGTAGGTACAAAAACACATGAGAAAAAACAGCATCTTAAGAATGTGAATAGTATTAATAGTCTATTTTTCATTAGTCTCTTAAGTAGACTACTATTGCACAGCTTCAGTAGGCGGTTTAAAATATATCGCAAACGAAAAGAATGTATATTTAATTATGATATCAAAGGCCTTTTTTAGACGACCTAATGCACATATCTGTATGCATCACCCATCCACATAAAAAAAACTGTAGGTATCTACACCTTTATGTACGTAACGATACCATAACATAACAGTCCGTTAATTCAAAATTTTAAACTAAATCAATATTCACACCGAAAGATTTTGAGTTGCGGGGGGGGGATTTTGCATTTCTTCTGTATTTTCACACACTAACACAGCAATATCAAAATTCTTCGAAAGGTATTTTAGCATTCAGTTAAGAAGAAAGAAAGCAGTCAACAAATATATCCATTTCTGAACCAACTATTATTCAGATTTATTACTTAAATCCTTAACTCGATAACGTTATTCATAACTTCCTGGCGCTTAAAACTTCTAAAAAAAGATATCAAAAGAACCAAACGACATAAATAACGCTATGTGTTGGCAACAAGTTTATTACACATGTCCAAATTTGTTCCTGGCAAAGCATCAAAATCCCGCAGCGGCAGAACAATTACGTAAAGCGCGTTTCACACGGAACACGTGCACTTCCTTCACTTCTATTCGGTATTATTCTCAAATAATTTTTGGTATTCCCAGATTACATTTACATATGTCGAAAAAGATTGAACACTTACATGCACACACAATAAAAAGCTTAATTTCTTTAAACATGGAGATACCTCAAAAGTAACGAACGTAAATTATACGGCAGCACAAATTTGATTTCTATAAAAAAGGACAATAATCAAATAAATAAAAAATACAAAAAGAACGACATTTAAATAAATAAATAGTATAAAAGTAAAACTAATATTGCTATATTCTTAAATTATAATAATAATATCAGAAGATTTTCATTATATCAGAAAATTTTCATTTTCCATAATTTCGATTCTACGCCTCAAAATTATGCCTAAATATTAAATTTTATCAAATTTGATGAGAAATTTTAAAACTTGTCTTGGCGCACTTTTTT